AGTTGTCAAGGACTTCGTTTCACTTGAAAACACAATCAACATCCATGGAAATAGCAGTTAAGAAATCAAATGACATAATTCAGTGAGCAAATCTGTTGTAAAATACCTCTTTATTTAAAGTGTTAAAAAAAGGAAAAGTACCACTTTGAGGATTTTCAGTTGCCTCATATGCATGAGAAAGCTGGATAAGGAAAAAAATATAATGAAGAATAATTGATACATTTGAATCATGGCATTGGTGAAAAATACAGAATACACCATGGACTGCCAGAAGCATGAACAAATCTGTCTTGGAAGAAGGACAGCCCCCAATTTTTTTTCAGAAGTAAGAATGGCGAGACTTCATGTTACGTACTTTGCCATGTTATCAGGAGGAACTAGTCCTTGGAGAAGGACATCATGCTTGGAAAAGAAGAGGGTCACTGAAAAATAAGACCCTCAAGGAGATAAATTTGCACAATGGCTGCAACTACTGGCTCAAGCAGAGCTATGACTGTGAGGATGGCACAGGACCAGGCAGTGTTTTGTTCTGTTGTACACAGAATCGTTTGAGTTAGAATTAACTCAATGGTACCTAACAACAGCAAATTATCACATTTGCTGTTTAAAACAGATTTCCTCTTCAATCCTTCTGGAGTCATCAACATATTCTAAGCCATTAGTGATGTTCCTGTCTCCAGTCAGTTCTCACTATGCACTCTTCCCACACACTACTCCCAGGTCAAGTAAAAACTGACATGACTCTGGGGAAATAATTTAGCAATATGCACCAAAGACCTTGAAACAAATGTAAATAAATTAAAAAATGCACAAAGATATATGAGAGTGTATGTGTGTGTTTACGTAAGAAGGTGTCTAACAAAGTAAAAGGCCAAATGTTTGTAGCAGTTAGGTACTTTTACGAAGCAGGGTGGCAGGATAGAGTAGCTGTCTTTTTTTTTTTTTTTAAACCCTGGGAAATTATTATTCATTCTATAATAAAAATCTCATTAAAGATAAACATAGCAAATATTCAAAGTTCTGACACAGTAATCCCAGTTATAAAATCTGTATTTATAATATAAGGAGCTGTGGTAGTGCAGTGGGAAGACATCTGGCTGCTAACCAGGTCAGTGGTTCAAACCTACCAACTACTCCATGGGAGGAAAATGAGGCAATCTACTTCTGTAGAGATATGGAAACCCTATTGGGGTCTGCTATGAGTCAGAATCTACTTAATGGCAGTGGGTTTATTTATAAAATAGAGATGTGGTCAAAGGCTTACGTATTGTGATATTCACCACTGAATTATTATTTTTAAAAATAGGAGATAAACTAAATGTCCAAAAATAGGGGAATAAGGAATAAAGTAAAGCTGATTCAAATGATGGACTGTTTAACATACTTTAAAATTATGTTTTGGGTAATATTTAGGGACATGAAAAATGCTCATGTTCTAATAATATGAAATAATAAGTATGAAATACTTAGGGCATTAGCCCAATTTGTTTAAAAAGGAAGGAAAAAAAAAAAAAAAAAAAAGATCGAGAGAGAGAGAGCAAACAAAAAAGGGAAAAAAAAATGCAATAAAATCTACCAGAATGTCATTAATGGCCATTTCTGGATATGTTGTTGTTGTTAGGTGCCACCAAGTCAGCTCCTACTCACAGTGACCCTACGTACAACAGAATGAAATATTGCCCAGTCCTGTGCGAACCTCACAATCCTTGATATGCCTGAGTTCATCGTTGCAGCCACTGTGTCAATCCATCTCATTGAGTCTTTCCCATTTTCACTGACCCTCCAATTTACCAAGCATGATATCCTTCTCCAGAGAATGGTCCCTTCGGACAACATGTCCAAAGTAGGTAGGACGAAGTCTGGCCATTCTTGCTTCCAAGGAGCTCTCCAGCTGCACTTCCTCCAGGACAGATTTGTTCATTCTTCTGGCAGTCCATAGTACTTTCAGTATTCTTACTGTATAACTTTACATTACTTCTTTATGATTTTTTTTTTTGGTATTTCTTAATTTAAAATAATCATGTTTTATAATTGGACAATTCCAAATATTTTTTGTAAGCAACAAAAATAGTATGTTGATTTCTGTTACAGTAATAGCTGTTTTTCTATTCAATTCTCATGTCAAAAACTCACATAAGACATATTTATTTGCTAAAATAGTAGGTTCCAGTCCCCATTAATCTCCAACCCCAGCTTATTTTTATGAAAATATTCTTTAATATTCTCTGAGAATATCCTATTTTTTTTTGACTTATGTATTGTAACAATGGTGATGCCTTAAAGAATGATCTGCAATTAAATATATTTCCAAAATAATTAGGTTCCTAGTTGGAATCAGACCTTATAATTGTCCTTTCTTCAGTATCTTTGAATCAGACTTTCTTGAAAAAGGCTAGTGGAGAAAAACTACTTATCACATTTCTGTTTAGGTTTACTATTCTTTAAAAGTATAAAAGCAGCTCTTTAGAGTAAAATGAATTACAGGTATGAGTCATTTGAAGTCCACTATGTTCTATGAAAGAGGATGTTACGTGATTTGGTTGTTGTGAAAACACCTTATTATATACAGGAGACAGACATGCAGGATGATTACCAGGCCTCTGACTCACCCTACTGCAGCTGTGCAGAGGGACTGCGTGAAAACTTTGGCCTTAATGCTTGCTGTCCTGCGAGGACACTGCCAGATCACTGAGAGATGCACCCAGCCCCCACTCACCTATAGTGGTGTGCACTTGCTGTTCAGCCAGCTGCTGGCTCCCTTCCTCTCTCTCCCAGCCTGCCCCCAAACCAACACCAATGGGCTGTGAATTCTTCCAGACCCAGGCACCCCTCCTCCTCCACCTCTACCTACTCCCCCAGCTGCTTATCCTACTCCCACCACTGCCTCAACCTGGCTGCTGCCATTGGGAAAGGAGCTATAGTCTGTGCCCAGGCATTATGTGTAGGGCACCTGGCTGAGGGAGGCAGCAGCCTCGGCAGGGCATCCCACTTAGGGGCTCCAGTGGTATCTGTGCCATCCTTGCCTAAGGTGACCACAGTGGGACATGCAGCCACTGATGGGCAATGGAATCCCTCTGCCCTGCCACTTCAAGGTCAGGGCAGATGTGAGACTTAGAAAGCTAGGAAGAGATAGATCGGATCTCTGTCTGCTAAGTCCCACTCTCCTCCAACTGAGATTCTGAACTCTATTATAACCTTTTGGGACCACGGATGTATATGTGGCTGGAGATTGCCCAGATATATACCCTTACTTTCAGAAAACTTCATTTCTAATGAGTATATTTAATTTAAATACCTACACTGGGAGAAGGTTGGGCAATCCTACTTCCGTAGTGATACTGCCTCGGAAACCCAAGGGGGGGTTGCTATGAGTCGGGGCCGACTTGACGGCACATAACAACAACAACACTGGGAGTTAAGTCTGGCTATTCAACCAATGAAAACTCCTATGTATCTACACGGTCGCTGTCAGGAAGGCCTAGAAAATTCAGTATATATGCTAACAATAATATATGGCATATATTACCATTATTATAGATGTCCATAATTGATTGATTTGAAAAGTTACTGAATTTTCTAGGCCTTCCTGACAGTGACCGTATGGATATGAAGGAGTTGTCATTAGTTTAATATATGTTTCCTGAAATAATCTAAACTCCCAGTCCTTCCAAACAGCAACATAGAAACATACATATACATTAATGTTAGCACACATTCCATACACTGAAAATTTATTTGGGAGATATTTAACACTTGTATTACCCATATACCTTATATAAGGAATGTGAATCCATTTCAATGGCTCTGTTTAATTATAGGATATTTCTGAAATCAAAATCTTATAAGTTATTCTGAATCAATCACTCTCTCTTTCTGCACACAGTTTAAGACAGATATTTCATTCATTTTAAAAAAAATCAATTGATATTTTCTTTAAAGCAACCATACTCACATCATTTACAAACACATAATTCACAAGCATAAGATACTTGTGAACTTCAATTCCACCAGTCCTAAAGCATAAAAATTTTATTGAATGAAATCAATGAACATATTTACAGAAAGAAAATATAAAGCATATGTTTAATAACTTCAAGGATGTTCATTTAGTACTCATTACAACAGTTTTTATTCATGATCTGAATCTGTTTCCCACATAATCAAGTGAATTATTATTAATTTGCAGTATAAAGATAAACACACAAAAACCTGCACTGTTATTAAATCATTAAATTCAGAGTGGACAGAGAAGCTCACACTAAAATTAAATGGTATAATAAACACTGTTAGCTCTATTTTAAATTTATTTATTTTATTATTTCCAAAGCAAACTAAACTCATTATTTTCAAGAAAAATATCATAGTGTATTTGGTTACATGTGGCTGCTTTCTTACTTTAACTACTTACTGAAATTTTGTATTCTGCTAATGTACATTATACCTTGTTGTTTGTGTTGTTATATGCTGTCAAGTCAGACCCGACTCATAGTGACCCCTCCTTGGGTTTCCGAGGCAGTACCACTACAGAAGTAGATTGCCCAACCTTTCTTCCAAGGAGTGGCTGGTGGGTTTGAACTGCCAACTTTCTGGTTAGCAGTCAAATGCCTTAGGCACTATGCCACCAGAGCCCCCCACATTATACCTTAGCAGAATATAAAATTGATATATATGGTGTCATCAAGCATGTAAAAATTAAATGGGTCAGGCAAAAAAGCAACAATGGGAAAGTAAAAACAACATGGTGTTCACTTTTGCTTTCTTGTTAGCAAAAGCATTCTCAAAAATTGTGTTTGGTTCACAGATCCAGAGAAAGCATATTAGAATCTTAGTATTTTTAACAATGATCTCCCCTGGCTACTATTTGTCTAAAAAGCAATAAGCCATATAATTTACAGGAAGAAAGCCACTGAATCCTTTAGAAAACCCAAACTGGCAATCTGTCTTCAATGTAAAATAATCAGGTGGCAGGAGTGTGATGGAGAAACCAGTCTTCGAAAACATCATGTAAGGGAATCCAGCTGCGCTTGTATGGTCTCTAGCTATTTACAAAGACAAGGAAAAAGAGAGAAAGCTGGTGAAGTGAGAGATATTCCTATGAAGTATTGTTTAGAAACATGTAAATAGAAGGGAAAGAATGGCATTGGTACCTATGCATATTGAATTCACTCACATAGCAATTCAAACACATTTTGAATATTTTTTCTTTTATGTGAAGATATTAGAATTCATGCTTGCAACTTAAGTTTTCAAATTTGTAAAGGAGGTTTTCTGAATATTGCTGTTTTAAATACACCCAGCTGTTTCATTTTAAATTACATTACATGGTAAGATTTTAAATGTGGGAGAGGAGGGTAAATTGTTACGAAATAAGTATTTGGGAAGAAACATAGAATAGGCTTGAGATAAGCCTTCAAAGGCCCAAAATCTTCCTTTCCATGTTTCTCTATACCCTTTGGCCCAGAAATTGTTTAACATTGCCCATACCTAAAGTGTCAGGTTGGCTAGGTACCACATAGTTTATTACTTAATGCTTTACATTAAGGCAATAATCCTGTCGCTTTAATTAAAGCCATTTCCATTTTCTTCCTACTTTAGTTTGTCAGATTTTCTTCATTTCAGCTACATTTCCTACTGTGAAACATAAGGTGTTTATAAGGAAAGTTTAAAGAACCTAACCCCTTAACAGGGCATTTAAAAATAAGAATTATAATATAAAAGAAACAAAACAAAAGAACCCACATATCAGAAAATTATTTTTAAAATATAGACCTTGTTATAGAAATCAAACAACTCCTTGTGACTGAACTCCATAAGAACTTTCTGCAGGCTCTGCAAGGAAGAAAAAAGAAAAAAAGAATTTAGTCACATAGAATTTAGTTGCATTATTTTCTCTCTAGCCTCAGAATATGCCATAATACTACTTTCTGAGATGCCTTAAAAGCTTACCTGCTCTGCCCACCTTCACCACTCCTAGAACTCACAATGCATTTAATAACACTCCACGTTAGCAAAAGGTTTCAATTCTACAGGGACATCTGTTCTTAAAGTTGATGCCACAAAGGTTAATAAAATATATGCCAGCAATAGAACAATTTCATTATCTATGTTTTTTTCAAGATAGAGATAATACATGAGATTATATTTCTTCTTTCTCAGCAGTCATTTGAAATCTAGTAAATACCATTACACAAAGAAACTGGAGGCGGCATATCTGATTGAACTCATCCAACCATTAATGCCTCACATCAGCACAGCTACTGCCTCCGAGCATTCATCTAACAGTTATGATCTTACCATGCTGAGATTGTTACCTTCTTGAATATACAGACTCAGCAAAACTTAACAATTAACACAACAGCTTCAAAGCTGGGATGTAAACACTCTCCATCCTTTCACCTCACATTTGTTAGAGAAGTCTTTATGGCTGCTACAGAGGCTAAGTAAGATGGTGTATAGATAATGTATGGTGGTGGTGCAATAGCTAAATGCTCGGTTGCTATTTGACTGGCTGTTTGAGCCCACTCAGAAGCTTCGTGAGAGAAAGACCTGGTGATGTACGTCCATAAAAAGCATAGCCAAGAAAATCTTTTGTTGTTGTTAGGTGCCGTTGAGTCGTTTCCGACTCATAGTGACCCCATGAACAGCAGAACGAAACACTGTCCGATCCCGCGCCAGCACCATGATCCCTGCTATACTTCAGCCCATCACCCCAGCCACTGTGTTGATCCATCTCGTTGAAGGCCTCCCCCTCTTTTGTTGACCCTGCACCCTACCAAGCATGACATCCTTCTCCAGGGAATGGTCCCTTCTGACAACATGACCAAAACAGGTGAGACGAAGTCTGGCCATTCTCGCTTCTAAGGAGCATTTTGGGTGCACTTCCTCCAGGATAATCTGTTAGTTCTTTTAGCAGTTCATGGTATTTTCAGCATTCTTCGCCAGCACCACAACTCAAAAGCATCAACTCTTCTTCAGTCTTCCTTATTCATTGTTCAGCTCTCACATGCATATGAGGTGACTGGAAATATAATGGCTTGTGTCAGACACACCTCAGTCCCCAAGGAGACATTCTTGTTCCTCAGCACTTGAAACAGTCCTTCACGGTTTACCTTCCGAATGCTACATGTCATCTAATGTCCTGACTGCTGCTTCCATTGGAATCGATTGTAGAACCAAGCAACATGAATTCTTTGACAACCTCAATCTTCTCTCCATGTATTGTGATGCTGCTCATTCGTCCAGTTGTGAGGATTTTTGTTTTCTTTATATTGAGACATAATCCACCCTGCAGACTGTATTCTTCAACCTTCATCAGTAAATGCCTCAAATTATCCTCACTTTCAGCATTATGTATCGTCTGCATATCTCAGGTTGTTAATGATTCTTCCTCCAATCCTAATGCCACATTTTTCTTCATATAGTCCAGCTTCTCAGATTACTTGCTCTGCATATAGATTGAATAAGTATGGGGAAAGAACACAACCCTGACGCACTCCCTTCCTGATTTTAAACCATACATTGTCCCCTTGTTCCATTCGAACAACAGCCTCCTGGTCAAGGTACAGGTTCCTCATGAGTACAATCAAGTGTTCGGGAATTCCCATTCTTCTCAATGTTATCCATAATTTGTCATGATCCACACAATCAAATGCCTTTGCATAGTCAATAAAACACAAGTAAACATCTTTCTGGTATTCTTTGCCTTGAGCCAAGATCCATCTGACAACAGCTATGATATCCCTTGTTCCACATCCTCTTCTGAATCCAGCTTGCACCTCTGGAAGTTCTCTGTCAATATATTGCTGCAACCGTTTTTGAATTATCTTCAGTAAGACCTTACTTGTGTGTGATATTAATGATACTGTTCTATAATTTCCACAATCTGTGGGATCGCCCTTCTTTGGAATGGGTACAAATATGGATCTCTTCTAGTCAGTTGGCCAGGTTGCATAACCGAGTGGGTGCCTCCAATGGGGCATCCGTTTGATGAAATATCTCAATGGGCAATCTGGCAATTCCTGAAGCCTTGTTCTTCGCCAATTCTTTCACTGCAGCTTTGACTTCCTCCTTCAGTACCATTGGTTCCAGATCATATGGCACTTCCTGAAATGGATGAAGATTGACCAGTTCTTTTTGGTGAAGTGATTCTGTATATTTCTGCAATCTTCTCTTGATGTTTCCTGCATCATTCAATATTTTGCCCATATAATATCTCAATATTGCAACTCGAGGCTTCAATTTTTTCTTCAATTCTTTCAGCTTGAGAAATGCTGAGCATGTTCTTCCCTTTCGGTTTTCAAACTCCAGGTCTTTGCACATTTCATTATAGCAATTGGTTCTGTCTGCTCGAGCTGCTCTTTGAAATCTTCTGTTCAGCTATTTTATCTTGTCATTTCTTCCATTGGCTTTGGCTACTCTCCGCTCAAGGGCAAGTTTCAGAGTCTCTTCTGTCATCCA